CTGAGCAAGGGGCAGCCACTATGAGACTCATTGCTTATCTGACATCTCAGGAAGGGGATGTAGAACAGCTTTTTTGTCCCATTTTAACTTAAAAAGACAAGAAATCTGATTTATTTTCTTTAGCCCAAGGGAACTTCTGAGTTCCTTCTTGTTTCCATTTTGCAATGGGGAGATATAGAAAGAGTGTTTGGATAAAGCCAAACCTAATATATCTTTTTGTTTCGTTTGAAGCATTTGAATTTTTTTTAATATATAGAAAAATACTAACCTATGCCACAACAAGGGAATATTTCAAGTGTTTATTTCTGCTTCAATTTCATAGCTATGAAGCACTGATAATATTAGCCACCAAGGAACTGATTGGTAAAATTTGAAAATGCAGTCTGAATGAGACAATATTATTGATTTACTCTATTTTACTGCTGTGAATGTTCTTGGAAAAATTACCCCATTCTGCACAGAAAAGAAAAATTTTGTAAAAAATGTCCATAGAAATGAACAGATAATTGCTGTTAAAGCTTGCATTGTCCAAATTACAGAAGCCCACTGGGATAAGAGATCAGCACTGAAGTAGCACATTTTTATGTTTTGTCTCTATAGTTAAAAGTTAATCAGTTATCAGCTATTAAAAACAAAACAAAACAAAACAAAACAAAACAAAACAAAACAAAACAAAACACAAAACCTGAGAAAATAACCCAGAGGACAACATCACATAAAATCATAAAATCACAGAATCACAGAATGGTTTGGGTTGGAAGGGACATTAAAGATCATCTTGTTCCAGCCTCCCTGTCATGGTTCCAGGCACGGGTCTTCCACAACTTCTCTGGACAACCTGTGTGAATGCCTCACCATCTTCACAATAAAGTATTTCTTCCTAATGCCTAATCTAAACCTGGCCTCTTTCAGTTTAAAGCCATTGCCCCCCTTGTTCTGACCTGCCACAGGTGCTGATCTTGCACATGAATTAAGTTAACATCAAGCCTTTGTTCTGCTTAGCACAAAAACAAATGGATAATGAAAACTGGTGTGAACACCTGCGTCTTAAAACTGATTGTGAGCTTCGAGTATTCTTTCAGTGCTGAGTCTCATGAAAAATACCATGAGCACAGCAAGGTGACAAAGCCTCTTGGGAGGTGCTGCTGATCCTGAACACTTTGTTACTCTTCAAATGCATATGGTGGTGCTGGTTTGGCTGCTGAGCCAGTACCAGGTGCTAGGGACACTCAAGGCCGTATAATGAATACAGGGGGAGGACATCACTGTTCTTCTGTGCTTGCTTGGGCCAAAATGCAGCTACATAATTATTCAGTTTTTCCTGGAGCTGTCTGTGTCAATTAAACATGCAGGTATGTTTTTTCGTTGGTTGGTTGGTTGGTTGGTTGGTTGGTTAGATGGTTGGTTTTTTTGGTTTGGTTTGGTTTTTTTTTTTTTGGTGGGGGATCTTCAGCACATACTGTAATAAAAAATTATAGTTTTCCCTTGAATGTGAATCTTGGATGGTAATTGAAATTAAGGCAGGATATTTGAGAACAGAGGTGAAATCTCCTAACTAACAACTCTCATATATGCACTTTAAAAAAACATGTAAAAGCCTTCAGGTGATACTTCAGTGTGAGTAAAAGCTTTACTAGTTTTTCCACTAGATGGTTTAATAAAGAGGCATCACCTTTACCTGTAATCTCTGTATTATCTGGGTGCTTAGTCAACCACAACCTCAGCCAAAATTGAAGAATTAAATTAACTATGACTTTTGTTATTGTTGTTTTAATAAGATAGCACAGATTTTATTTTCATGTAAGATAATTATTTCTGGAGTAGTTTTTCTTCATAAGCCTGACTTTGTAACTACTAAGGTTTGCAACAATAAAGCATACTTCTCAAACATCTCTTTCAGGAGAACAATACCACTATTCAAGCATCACAACCACTGCTTGTCAGGGAACTCTCTTCATCTCATGGAGGAAGAGTCATGAATCTGCACCAATTTTCCAGTTTGTGTACCTACAGGCAAAACTGTCACTTTTAGTCTAGTTCAGCAATTTATAGATGTCAGAGGTTGAAAACTGTGCTTAATTCTTCATTCAATTAAAAAGTTCCGCTTAATGAAATCCATAGCTTTGCATGAATAAAATGCTACATCAAAATCAGCATTTGCTGGATAGAGTTCAAAGGACTGACCCCAGTTATCACACCCTCTTAAGCCTCGCAGGCTCCTCCTGCATCCTTCAGTATGGTACTGGCTAAACTTGCCGATCCAACAGAAAACCGTTTCATTCCAGTATTAAGCATGACATTAGGAAACAGCACAAAGCTACTGAGAAGGGCTTCAACAGTGAAAGGTTCTTTTTTTAAATTGTTTTCCTACTGACTGGATATTTTTCTCTGCCTTTGATCTGTTATCCTACAAAGACTGCTCTCCCTCATGTATGTGCTCGATAAGGGGTGAATGCATCTAATAGAGCCTGCATGTCTTGCAGAATCATCATGAAAGGTTTCATTCCAAAGCACAAAATATATTTCTGTGCTCTTTGCCTGGCCAATTAATGATGGGAAAACAGATGGTATCTGCTCATTTGTCAAATTAAACTAAATCCCCCCCCCCAAAAGCAACAGAACACTCTTCCTGAACGATTTGGTTGATCATTGTCATTAACACATCTCTCCAGGAAGGAGAATTACCCAGCCAGTGACTCAGTGTTCTCTTGCCCACAGCTACTCATTCTTTCTGTCTGTTCATTGTCCCTCAAATGCCACCTCAGTCTCACTGACTTAACCGCTCCTCCTCTCCCTCCTTGTCTCGCTGTTGGTCTCTAACTGCAAACAGCCACATCCCAGCCTACCTCCATCCCCTCCAGGGGTTCCCTGGATGGCTCTCAGGTCCCCTACTTTTCTTCAGTCTCTTTGCTCCCAAACTACGTTTTTCTGTCTTTCCTGGTTTTCCCCACTGAAGTATTCTTCCCTTGTGACGATCAGCACCTCCTTTCGTGTTCAGACTCCTCATCCCTCATCCAGCTTTGGCACATGCCTTCCCACCGCATCTGAGATCCCCCTGCATTCCCGCTCCATCCCTCATGACCAATCTCCTGACTGACTCCCTTTCAGGATAATTCTGTAATTTTCCATGTCTTCATGTGATATTATCAGTATAACCCAAGACTTGGAAAGGGCTGGAAGGACAAGAGCTTCAGAATGTCCAACTCTGGGACATTAAATGCTTAAAGTATTTTCAAATTAGGTGCATGTTCTAGCACTTCAAAGCTCAGTGCATTTTTTCAAAGACAGTGACTTTTTAACAAGCTTGCAGGTTTTGTTCTTTGCTGTCAGAAATATTAAAAATATGAAAAAGAAAAAAGAAGGAAAAAGAAAAAGGAAACAAAATATATAAAAAAACCCAGCCCACCAACCCTCCTTCCTTTGTTCACAACTGCCTGAGCTAATAATTCTCCGTTTCTTCTGTGATCATCAACAATAAAAATTGAAGGTAAAGCAAACTAGGTGGCAAACTTTATATTTTAAATTAATTCCATCTTCCTGGGAATAAAACCACCTTAAAGGCTCTCAGATAGTTATTATGCCTGAGAAGTACTGAAGAAAAAGGACTTCTCTACACCTGGACATGTAGTTCCACTTATTCCATATAATTAAGAGTAAGTATATGATTAAACACTTTGCTGAATTTTAGACAATAAATGCAACTCTGCAAAAAACCTGAGCACTCTTCCACTAATATGAATATATTTGTGATGCTTTAAAATAAAACTTCCTATTACTAGCATTCTTCTAAATGTCATACAGACAATAGCATATTGTTCATAGTTGGTGCTTTCCTAAACTGAACTGCATCTTTATTAATGTAAACAGTCAATTTTTATGAATGCACTACTTCGAAAAAAGTCAATAAAAATTCTATCTCATGAGTCAATGCAGGTATATCTGAAGATCTTGCAAATCTTTCCTTTTAATGAACCATGGCATCTATGGTTAAGTTTCACCACAGGTGCAGGTAGTTGGGTGAGAAGGGAGGGAAGGGAAGCAATTGTCCATCCCCCTTGGCATCACCCAAGCCTCTTGGGGTATCAGTGGGGGATCAGCAGGACCTGCCCCTTCCCCACCTTCCTGCCATCTACCCTGTGGCTGCAAGAGCAGTTTACTTATTCATTTAAAAGCAAACAAACAAATAGCAATAAAACCCCCCAACAAATCACAGAACTGGTCAGTACATAACAGTATTTTCTAGTAGATGTGATTCATCTGAGAGAAGGCAGGGACTGGCTGCCTGAGTGATCTGTGAGTGGAAGAGGAAGAGAGAGAAAACATTTCTGTGCTGTAGTTCTCATAAAACACAAAACTGAAATAGGTCAGCTGAACAGTACTTTCAAAATGCCACTTCTCCCTGTTGACCACAAAAACAATGTCAGGAGGCATGATCAAAGGTGGTTATCACAATTTACATTAGGTAAAATAAATTGATTGTGTGCTTTGCTTTTTTCATTGTGATCAATGAGGCACAAATATTTTCCTCTGAAACTTCCCTCTGCCTCACTACTTTTAAATATATTTGTATGAACAATAGTGTTAACAAAGACCTGGTTACCTGTGACATACATTAAAGGCAAGACAACCTACTGTATGCACAAGAGAAACTTACAGAAGAAGAACAGGCATTTCAAATTGAACGCGATTATGAACGAGATTTGCAAACAGCCAATAAAAAAACCCCAAAACATGTTAAAGAATTGCAGCCATGCAAGATGCATTTAAAAGACATGCAGATGTGGCACCTGGGGACATTTTAGTGGTGAGCTAGGCAGTGCTGAGTTAGTGGTTGGACTCGATGGTCTTAGAGGTCTTTTCCAGCCTTCGTGATTCAATGATGCTCAGTGTTCACAGGGTACACAGGGTAGCTCTGCCCTCTGGACCCCATGGTCTGGGCAGAAAAAAACACCATGTCCTGGAGAGCAGCATAGCTCGGAGAGAAACTTCCTTGGAGGGGGTTTTTGGGGCAGGTGTTATGTTATACAGTGACTACACATAGGAAATCACAAGTTTTGGCTCTAAACAGAAAGCACATATTTTCAAATGAATGTGTAAAAATGTATTTACAAAAAATAATCACAAGCAAATGAGGGGCACTACATCACATACTATACCCAACAACTTCCTCTTTAACCAACAGAATCAGGAAGAACAAGTTATACATAATAAATCCTTGTCACATTATTTGACGATGTCATTGTCACATTATGTAATAATTTGAACAAGAGGAGTTCATTGAGGAGAAGGAAAATAAATACCTCTATAGATTCATGGCAGTAATGCACAAATAGGTATAAAAAAGCTCAACATATTTGTACTTCCATTTGTGGAACTTAATAAAACCTAGGGATCAAATACCAAAAAAAATTTAAAATTTCCATGTCATTTATACTGAAGGCATTATAAGCAGAAACTGTTAAGTATATAAACATAACCTTTACACCTGACTATTTACCTTTAACTATGTAATAAGTTTTCTAAGCCGTAATATACTATATCCCCTCTTAAAATTTAAAAAAGTTCTAGCAAAATAGGGCTTCTAAAATTTCAAATATGATGAGGCACTCTGCTGTAAAATAAGACTTTCTGAAATGAAAAAAAAAATCCTCAGCACAAGATCAGTCACATTTCTGGCAATGCAGGGCATCTTGTCCTACTCAATTCTATATGTTTAAATCCTTTAATAAAACATTAACAATAGAATTTAATCTGGAAATAATCTTCGTGGCACAGTACATTTTTATTTCATGACAATGGTTCTTCATTGGTGCATTCCCCAGAATTCTGCTTTCTGGCCACAATCTACTCTGCTGCTTCTGAGTGGCTTTGTTTTACCATGGCTAACTCACCACCGATTTTGTACTTTTCAGCAAAATAATCAGAGTCAAAGCTCACAGACAAATCTGGAGGACACACATAAAGTCTTCCATTGTCTATGGTGAGCTTATGAGTCCTTTGTTTGACACCTTTTGATTGCCACTGTGGTGTTGGTGATGGCTCCAGAGGGTTTATTCCTTCATATAATCCTTCTCCTGTTTCCAAGGTAATTTTAAACTTATGCCAAGGACAAACAATACATGCTTGGCCATCGATATCCTGCAGGAAGAAATAAAAAAACATAGCTAGTCATCTTCTAGGACAAGAGATGTGTTTGATGATTTGGCTGCATGGCTGTCTGCTGTTATATAACCAGTTTTTTCAATGTTATGCTCAAAAGTACTAGAGAAAATGCATTAGAGTTTTCACATGACTCTATGCCAGTGCATTATTTTTATTTTGCTTACATACCTCTATTTCTCCTTGACACAAAGGACCTCCTTCATCTGCAACATGGCAGAATACAATAATTATTTATGTAGCAAACATATTTTATGCTTAATTGTTGCAAAATAGAGATAATATGTGCAAGCATCTTACGGTAGCAGCGAGAGTCCAGAGCATGAAATTTCCCCTCATGGTAGAAAACAACAATTTCTCTGCCATCGATTTTGGCTGTTATTCTTCCAGACTTCTTTATGTCCTCTTCTTTGCCAATAAATATAAGACCATCTGGCCCCGCTTCAGCTGTTCCTGTGCTTGAGCTGTGCAAATCCGCATCCTTAAAACACACAAACACACACGCAAATAAAGGAAAAAGCTACTTATAAAGCAGGTCACATTTGGATTTCTGTGGGTACGTGGATGTCCCAGAGAAAACCCTGATGCATAAGGTAAAAAGAGAAGTTTTAGTGGAAGACTATCAACACACAGACAAAGAAAAGCATAGGAGTCTGGTGATGAATGAATGGCCAGTCTCTTCACGAACGAAGAACCAGGGAAGGTCTTTCCACCTTCCAGCCTGCGCATTGGATTTTTTAGGTGAGACACAGTGTGCGCGGAACTGAGCCCACCCTTTAATCCTGAGGTTCATCTGCCGGGGCCAAGCACGCTTGGACGGTGGCAGCGAGGTCCTCAGGATGTAGATGGATTGCCTTACGGGCTAACGAGCTCCATCTGCCCGGGG